ATTGCTCTTTCTGACTGCTAGTCGCCTCCCGTATTCAACCGTTATACAGCCGAGAAAACCTCCACGACTTGAGCCCAAGTCAAAGTTGAGATGATGTCCAACTTTGCGTCGCGCCGGCGTGCATTGTTAAGCGATGGCATCCACGAACTGTCCAAAAACTGGCAAGGATCTCTCAATAACATTGCTGTATAATTTTGATCTTGTACGCCTCTCTGTAAAAAGAAAGTCTAATTTGAAAAAATGTGACAGAACTTTCCCGCCAACCTAATAAGATACAGTCGCTTTTGCTGGAGGCATTGGCGTCCCAGGAGGGTGGGGCGGGGGAGGTTGAGTTCTCTATTGCTGAAGTGAGCAAGCTGCGCCGCACTTAAAGACAGCTCCCGCGATAAAAGTGGCAAGAATAATTGCTGGCACAGGGTACAGCATCGTTGTGCGAAACCCATAGGGGGGTCGTACTTGGCCGCTGGGGAGGGGGGGGGGGTCGTAATCTCAAGGGTCACTCAGAGCCGAGCAATGCTTCGACATTTCAGTTGATAGTGGGAGTGGAGCTATGGAAGTCAAGATGTTTAAAAAAATGAAGTTTATTATGAGTGTATTCTTTACAGCTTTAAATGCTACGTTTAACAGCCCTCTTTTCATGGGAAATCCCCAAGAATGGGTTCGTACTTGGCCGCGGGGGACGTGGGGAGTATCGCAAAAGTAGGCTCGCTAGGCATCAAACAGTACAAAGGTGTCATTGCTAAGGGATGCGAACGTTGACGGAAAGTCTTCAGAATTATCCTTGATGTGTAAATAGGTGTATTATTACAAAATAATAAAAAATTTATTAGCAATATAGCAAGAATAATAAATAAATAAATAAGTGTCAGTTTATGGCATGAACTCGTAAGTACGTAGATGACTAAATAATACGTCTCAAACAGATTCGTGCGTGTTGTCCTTTACAAACCCTAAACAAACATCTGCTTGCATGGATAAAAGCACCTGAAATTAGAATTTACACCTTTCCACCACCTCTGCCGTAGGAGCCTAATGCACGGCGCACGGACCAAACCGATTAGTGATAGCCGAGCTCCTCTTCCACTCATTTGAAGGGAAATATGTATTTTGGAGGCACACTGAAAGGTGTATCCTCACAATGGCACATAAGGAGTCAATTTTTCGGGTGGTCAGGGGGTAGCGCAAGGGTAACCCATCTAAAATATCTCCTGAACTAGTGGGTCTTCAGAAAAACCGTGAAGCTTGTTGGAAAGAGAAAGGATGGAGGGGGTATATCAGGCGTTTTTAATTCCTGATGAATTTGGTTTGAACGGAAGCAAATCCTCGCTGCTGGAAAGCCATGAAATGGCAGCTCGCGCATTTACCCCTAGCCTATCGAAGGACCCATCCGGATATTTCACCAACGGGGATTGCTTCAGTTTGCAATGTTATTGTCAGAATAACAAGTAGGTAGGAAACTTTGCCGTTGCATTCTGCTCACCATTCTTTCAAATTATAGCTCCCGCACTAAAAAAGATTCATAACCCACCGACGACCCCTCAGGACGTTCGTAAGCTCCACAACTGCCCGTCATGACGTTTTCCAAAGAAAGCGTTCGCAGCCTTGCGCCCTGCAGCCTGATCGATAATAGCCAAGTATGGAACGATTTACTGCCGGCCTGGTTATCCTTTTTCATTTAGCTCTGCATTTTTTGTATTTTCCATGTTTCGCTTTGTTGTGTCGTGCATGTTTTCATTATTTCCCCGTCACCATTCATTGAATGCACATCTGGGCCCTGACACGCTCACCTTGGGGCTATTTTTTCACCAATTCAGCCTATCAATGATCACCATTAGCCGCTATTTCAATTGTTGTGTTTTCTTGTAGCCAAGTTCGTCCAATGTGCATACATAAGTATATCGAACGAGGAGTTTTTATTTTGGACCTAAACAACTCTGTAGGTAACTGCGAGGCTGTTGTTCAGCCTCATATTGCATGAGGCTGAAACAGCCTTTTATTTCCTGTATTTTAGAGCAGAGTGCGCCTTGGAGAATCCAGATTCCATTTCAGGGAGTAGTCATTTGTGCGTTGTGAACATGCATTGGTATGTCCACTTTTAGAGTCAGGGAGGGGGGGGGGGTCGTGTTTCTGTACCCTACTTCGATATGGGGGGGGTCGTCCCACACCGCCATTTGGACAATCCCCCATGCTTGCTACCTGTCTAATGCTGATCAATTTACAGTACGCCGATAAGTAATCCTTCAATGAGTGGGAATTTAAGCTAACTATTGAGCTCTCAAAACACCACAAAAATTGCTCCCTTACAGTCACCGCCCTGAACCCTGGCTGTAAACAGGGTACAGGTCATTCGTTGTGCGAAAACCACTTAGTGGGGGTCGTTACTCGGCCGCTGCGAGGAAGGGGCGGGGGGGTCTACCCACGCATTTGAACATCCCCATGCTGTACCCTGCTTGTAAATCTCTGTTATCACATTTCTCTCGATAGTGTTTCGATATCACCCAGCAATGGAAAATAGACATACGAAAACAATAAAACTCGGAATTTTTTAACTCCTGAAAGCGCAAAGAACTTTCAAAGACACCGGTGTCCTAATTTTTGGGTTACGTACAGCGAGCCGGCTTTCGTGCATGTTGTAGTCGCAGCTTTTTGCCAACCACAAAAAATTGCATTCACTACGTGAATTTCTATGCGTTTTACCTTACGACATGGTGATTGACTCTATGTTGCTCTTCAATGACTGAAATGTGATAAAAGGAGCAGCAGAGTTATCCATAAGTTTGGCACCATCGCGTTCTGCAATATGACTTGCAATCCCCTGTCATTGCCGCACGCCCCCCCCCCCCTCCTCCCCCTCCCCCCCTCCCCCCCCCCCCCCCCCCCCCACCAACAAAGAGAATGACCGGCTCTCCGTCAGGTTTGGCATGCCTAGCCAAGTGAGTCCGGTCCAACTGAGCGGGCGTTAGAACTAGAACTTTGAGCGGCTGTAGCTCGCTTCTCGCTCACTGTGGAGTTGCGAGAGTGGGACAGCATCTAGCTTGGGGGCTGAACTACCTGCACAAGGAAGGACGACCATGTACTACTTGAGCGCGGGGGCTGTCTTTAACCCAACATCTGCGCGGAAAACAACTGTGAATACTGCTCAACTGGAAGTTTTAGCATGGACCGTCTTTGACCAGTTGTTTTTCAGGCTCACTTCTTCTACGACCGATGTGGTTGCAGCCCATTTTCCTATAACATCGATGTCTGTAAGTCAACTTCGGAAATACGCTCGCGATTTCATTAACACTTCATTTGAGAATTTTATTCAAAACTGCACAGTTGTGATATTTCGATAATAATGATAATTTTTCAGCTATGCCAATGTGCACACCCTACCAAACATTTCAATGCATCGATCAGTACATTCGATCACAAGTCAATGGTAACTACAACGACTTTTCGATTAGGTTCATTATTACTAAACTGAGGTATTACACTGACTATAGCTATCGCCTTGCCCACGCACGGTCCGAAAATCGACGTTTGGGCGCCGACAACCATGGCGAAGTGGGGGGGGGGAGGCTCGTGCAAAACCGAGAGTAACATCATTTGATCACTTTATCATCATTTGATCACTAATTTTGGAATAGGTTCGCACCACCAAAACTCCTACTTTCTCTAGATCCGATAACAGGGCATCCGTCGTCATGTTAAAATAAAGTACGCGGCCGCGCCCTCCCCAGCTCCTTGGATACGATAGACAGACATGGAGTGTACGTACCCTCGAAATCCCTAGGATAAGGTGGGCGTAGCTGCGCGTTTCAACTGGACTGGCGGTTGCTGTGCTTCTGGAGAGATATTTTCATATTGACACAATTGTGATCGTGTCTCTGTCGAACATAGAACAAGATGACAGTTGTCTCAAACTGATATGGCCCAAGAGTGGTTCCTTCTGCGGTGTGTTATGCCACGCCCACTCCGTAAGGATAAGGATAAAGAGTGTATGATGACACTACCTCCTGACACTGCGATAACTTCATTAACGACAAGCATTTTAACAGACTGTCGTGTTGGAGGAGCTACATTTATTTGTTTTAGGTACCGACTATTTCCGCATGCCGCAATGTAAGGAATGCAAAATCGAGTGTAACAGTCTCGTCTATCACGCCTACAACTCTTACGGTTCGGGGTTCAGTAATGGTGCGCTGAAATGGTTGAGTCGCAAGAATCCTGAGTGGAGCAAAGCTCATATGAGGTATGTTGTTCACGTTCTTGTGATGGTGTAGCAGACAGGTGGCGTCCTCACTACACAACAGTACCGGTACAAAACCCACTTTTGATCCCATTAAGACCAATGGCGAGCGCACTTTTTTCCTTGGAGATGTGACTTCCTCGTTACTACCACATAAAAGACAGCAAAGGGCGTTAGTGGTACTCGTATGGTACTTTTGTAATGTTGCTGATATCGGTTCGCTCAAACCGAAAGAGATGTCTTTTTGATTGCAAAAAATGTGCCACCCTGCGCTGCGCTTTTCACATGTGATCCAGTTCGAGGCAATGAAAACAACCAGTGTAGAAACCCACGGGCGGGCATGTTCCATGTTCCCGACGCGCGCCGCCAAATGATTAAAATGGCCGGGCAATTTCCTACCGCTGGTTGAAAATTCTGTGGAGAAAGCGACTTCCCTCCCTCCCTCCCCCATACCCTCTCTCCACCCAGGTATAGTCCTCAGTAGTAAAAACAGTTTAGCAGCGAACATTACTCCCAATGTTGGGACAACGCGCTGAAACAGGAAAAATCAAATAACAAAAATATCGGGCCAAATACGCCCCCTCCATCGTACGATGTGCCCTGTACGACGATACACCGAAGAGTTGTTTTTTACAATTGCATAGCTCTCATTTGAGTTGAATGAAGGTGTGCACTTGCGAGGTGTGGGCCGTAATATGCAGGTTGCGACTATGGGCAAAATGTAGCAAACATCTCCCTTGCTGTCTCAGCAGGACTTCCATATTAAAGGCACTTGGCACGATTTATCCCCCAAGACAAGTAGTATTAGTACGCCTGGCAGGAGGCGGAATACCGCGACCCTGAGCAGGCGCTGCATAATGCCTTTTCCAAGGGAGGTGCCCTTATAAGGGCCCTATCAAGCCACAACATTCCGACCCAAACGCCCGCGCCCGCCCGCCCACAAATGGACGACCGTTCCTGACGCTCTAATCGATTCATTTGCTAAGCAAATTATGAAGCGAAGGGATTGGTATGAAGCGGCCGTGATGCTGCATGGATATATGAGTACACATATGCAGCCGTATAGCGGTTATTGGCAAGATGCCTACGGGAAACTCGTCCAAAATTGATTTGAACACATTGAGAACGGAGGCTCTTTCTTCGCAGGATTTTGACCGTTTCACTCCGTTCTTTCGCCATTTCCCCACTATACAGCGCCTACTAGCATTTTAGGCCGAGCACCAAATCATCGTGCCAACTGCCTTCAAATCGAAAAGGTTCGCAGTAAGACGGCGTCGCAGCGGACGTAGCGTCCTACAGCAGCACATCTTAGAACAAACCGATCAATGTCCAGATCTCCATCCTTTATCCTTTCACTTTATTTGCCTGTTTACCTATACTTTTGATTTCAAGGACCAACTTTCTCACGGTAAACGTTTTCCATCGTGACATGGCACACACTGAATACAAACAAGTGAAGGCTACCTCACTGACGGAAACTCTCAGTGAGTTCATTCATTTCTATCCTTCTTTATTTCACTTCTCATTGTCCTTTCTTTTCTACCGTACACCATCCGATTCATACAGGTGACATCGGCGGTAACATGGGCATGTTCCTGGGTATGTCCCTGATCACAGTCACCGAGATTAGCCTGTTCATGTCGAAAATCGGATGGATTGCTTTCTCCAAACGTAGGCGTGACTACCTATTTAACAAGAAGCAACGAGAAAGGGTGGGTTCTTTTTCGATAATCCAATCGACATTTACTTCTCATAGTCAGAAACATGGGCTGATAGACCAGTCTTTGGTACTGCTCACCTTGACTGCTCTACGGTTTGAAGTTCTCAATATGGCCAGAAATTTGTCCCAAGTAGTAATATGATTCCTGAACATGAACATGACACCAGTTTGGTTCGAAAACGCTAGATTAGGCACTACGGAAAGTACTGACGCAAAAGGAACTAACAAGTTCACAACAAGTATGTCAACAGGAACAGTTTGGGCCAAAAATCAGAGTAACACACCTATAGCTGAAGAACTGGCGCCTACAGCACAGAAGCTGGCGAAAATTCTATGAATCTAATGTTTTGAGTGTAAGCATTACGAGGGGCGTGTGAAGGGGCGTGATTGGAGCGTAGCCAGAGCAGTCTCTTCCACCAATGGTCGCGCGCCTAGGATGGCGTCAGTTGGCGGGAACTGCCGTCTTGGCTGCACTCCAACCACGCTCTCGATTGCAGGGATAATGAATATGTGCAGAATTATCACCGAGGCCAGTTCGAGCGCGATAGCGGCGTGTGGGTTTGACGCCGCGTCATCCCATTTTTCACTGAACGTTACGGCTTGCGGGTTCAGTGAAGAGAGAAAAGGGCTTGTGTCGCTACTCGCGCGCCGGTGACACGCCTCGACTCAGTTCTGTGGTAACAACTGTAAAGGCGGCGAAAGCTATTGCGCCTGCATGAGGCCTTTTGCTCCAAACAGTTGTCACATTTCTGTTAGGAGGGTAACTGAATCTTCGGAGACAATTTTCTGGCCTGATCTGCTCCAAGGGACTAATTTAGTCGAATACTCAGTCAGAAATTTGAGAATCTAGGCAGCTGTGATTACCGCCACGTTTTTGTTCAGGAGTGGAGACCCAGGTAAAGTAATACCTTTGTACTTTTTCAGGAAGAGAAGAAACAACTAGAGGAGACGGTATCCGTGTTCAGCACGTTGCGCAGCCGGAAATTCGGCACGATTGGTGACTCATTCCGTGCCACTCAGTCGCGAATACGTACACTCAGCAGGCAGTTCCGTGGCAGCTCTAGAGATTCCAAATCAAGCAGTACTGATGCAGCACCGCTGGTAAGTTCAATGAAACTGACGAACCCGGGATGGAATTTATAAACACAAGATTTCATGAGTCCGTAGATTGCGATTGCGACAATAGAAATTCAATGGTGCCTATGATTGCTACTGACTACGCTCTACCGCTAATCCTTGGACCGCTGCTACTGCAAGTTCAATCGCGTCAGGGCACATTTTTGTTGGGAAATCCCCAGTAGGGGGGAGGTCGTATTTGGCCGCCAGGAGAGGGGGAGTCGTATTTGGGTGAGAAAAGTTTATTATACTACTATATGAGGCGGAGATGGTGTAGTGACAAGTGGGGCGCTCACCATTCGCGCGGTCCCGGGTTCGAATCCCGGGTCGACTCCCGCCCAGGCCAACCAAGCCTTCTACCCTCCGGGGACGGTAAATTGGTACCAGATTCGTCTGGGAGGATAAAACACTGACTTGTACATCGGCTGGCCACCGCAAGTCATTGTATAGGCCA